GAGTTCCACGTGGGCCTCTGCAGATTGGCCAACAGCACCCCCGCCCCTGAAGGCAGTGGGGGCTGGGCTTCGGGACAGGCCTTGCTTTCTATGAGAGGCACATGGGGAGCAGGCAGGCTGAACCCCTTCCTTCCGTCCTCCCACCAGCCGCCAAGCTCAGGAGGCTCTCCCGGGAAGGAAGCCCTTCCCAGGAAGTCCCTCCTGGGAGAGCTCCCACTTCTCCCCCTCCCCTGTGTCTGGCAGGAGGACCCAGGGCTCCGCTTCCTTCTCAGGCCGCTCCTGGACATTTGTCTTGGCAGGTCTCAAGTTGGAGCCTGGGCAGCCCGCCGGCCCCCGCCCTGCGTGGGGCAGTGTTCTGATGAACCCCTGGGACCTTCTGCTGCCCTTGTCTTATCTGCGGTGCTGTCTTCCTTCTGTGAGTGCAGAGCTGTGTCTGCCTCCAGGCCTCTCTCAGCGTTCCATCCCCATCTGCTTCCCGTCACCCAAGAATTCCCAGAACACTCCGATCTTGCTGATAGTACTATTTTATGGTTTGTCACGGTGGCGTGACTTATTTTTAGTGCCGTTTTGCATTTTAAAACATCTTTCCTATTATATGGTTAGCATGCCAGTCAAAATTCTGACCAGAGCAGGGATCCAGTCCAACAGGTGCTGCTTGGTTTTTGACGGTCATCTCTATTTAGGCCCCCACTGAACTTGACTTAGATGGGGTAGCTTTAGCTGATAATTTCGTAAAACTGGATGAGTAAATTTATAATCCTACCAAAAAAAAAATCTGTCTTTTCTATCTTTGAATGGGATTTAGAGAAAGAGGTCGAGGTCAGGTCCAACATTTTCATGCTGTCTCATCCCTCCATTAATAATTAACTGCTTAGCACGTCACATATGTGTACTATAGTTAAAGAAAATTGTGTCATGGGCAGCTTGTCTTACTGGACCTTCAGTGGGTAGGATAACAGAGCATAAGGCCTTCAGGTCACAGGACAAGAACTGGTCCTTGGTACTGCTGCCACCTCCCTCAGGCAAACCCTGAGTTCAGCAGGAATCACGAAAACTTGTGCATTCATCCAATGAGACGTATTGAACACCTCCCACTTTATCATGTCATCCTGCATGGGCACCATATTTCCAGCGTATCAATGCTTTGTGTGTATTAGCTCATTCGATCTTTACAACAATCCTATTTATTATCCCTATTTTTACAGATGTAGGAACCAAGCATTAGACCAATTGGGTACCTAGGAAGTTCCTATTTTAGATCTCAAATCCTGTTTCTATTATTAACACAGTACCCTTTGCACACCAGATGCTGCTTCTCTTGAGAAGAGCAGTGTAGAGTCATGGATTTCTAAGCAAATAACATTCTTCAGAGTATGTTTCAATTGCAACAGCAGTTGGACCATGTGCCTTGGAAGAATAAATTTTGGAGAACCAGTTTTGCCTCAGAGAGGGGACATCTGAGCTGGGCCTGTGGCAGAAAACAAATATCCCAGGCAAAGAGAAAAACATGTGAAGAGTCTTAGAGGTGTGAAAGAGCATTTCGTGTTTTAGAACTGGAGGCATATCCAGTTATGCCTGGAGCACAGAGCACATTAGCCAGGAGGAAAGGTGTGAAGAGAGGAGAGATGAGTCTAGAAAAGCCACTGAGACCAACTTAAAAACTTTTGTGTGATGATGAGGGAGCACTTCTGGACAGACTTGAGCTTGTGGGTTGTCTGGGAATTGATGGTCAGGAAGCTACTGGAGCTCAAGAAAGAAATCTGTTTGGAGATTAAAATTTAGGTCTCAGCATCACATAGATGAAAGTTGGGGGCTTTTCCCAGGGAGAGAAGGTAGAAGGAAGTGAGAACAGAGCTGAGGACAGCCTGGGGCACAGCACGATTCACGAGGTGAACAGAGAAACAGACGATAAAAGATCCTGAGGAGAGATGGCTGGCAGACCCGAAGAGAGCCAGCAGGCCAGCAGCCTTGGCAAGGAGAGCTCAGACAGGGCACAGGTAGTATGGGGCAGTGCGGAGTTCAGGAGCGGGTTGGAAATAGCTTAAATGTTACCATCTCTACCTCTTTCCTCCTGCACTTTGATGCAAGTCCTAAGACTAAACAACTCCAAGAGCAGCCTTGACCCACTCTGTCAAGTTCCCAGTGTGCTGCATTGAGGGTCTGACATTGTTCATCATATTTTAACTCTTGGATGAAGTTCAGTGATTTTTAACATAATGGGATTTAGATCTTAAAGGCAGCACTTAATTTTTTAATCTGTAAGACTCGATCAGTGTGGATTTCATGTTGATCCCATGTGAACCCTCTTCCTAAACTTGTAGACATCGGCTCCCCAAATTTCAGCTCTGAATCTAAATTCAGATGTAGATTTTAGAGCTACATTCTGTCCTTTCTTTTCCCAGACTGGTTTTTCTTATCCCTCCGTAATGCCCACCCCCTGCACGGTGGAGGTGAGAATGAGACTTGGAGACTGTTTTCTCCTTTAGCCAGGCTTTTAGGAGGGCCCGCGCCATTTGCAGCTGATGTCAAGAAGCGGGAACAGCTCCTCGTGCTGAAGAGCCATAATCCTGTTACACCCACCGTGAGGCTTTCACGCTAGCTGCCTCTGTAGCAGTAGATGGACTGAGGTGACGCAATTGACTTTTAAATCTCCAAGGGTCCTAGCTTCAAAATCCCCATGTCTAAGTCAAGTAGTAGATTAGGCCCCTTACTGAGAAGGCCTGGCTCCTTCAGAATCCCTATGGCCATAGCTTTTCCTTCGGTGTTTGTGGGTCCCATACTTTCTGCGTTCCACAATGTGTCCTTAAGTGGTAATCCTTGGCAGGAGGTGAACTTGGCTGGCATCTCCCTGGTTCATGGATTTAGTACCTGTCTTTGTACAGGCAGGATTAGGAAATATAGAAACAGTCGTCTGTTGTTTCTGTAAGAGAAGGCTATCATATCCGTTGGTTCATGTTAAAGCTGTCCTTGAGAAGGTAATGCCCAAGGTATACAAAGAGTTTTCTTCCGATTAGCCCCCTTTTGATCCACGATATAGTTACAAATTATCTAATGCAACTATTTTAGAATATTTATAATTCAGTTTTAATAGCTCAAAGTACTTATCTAATAACTGACTAAGTTCTAGATATAATTTACTGAACCAAAGGTCATACTTAATTTTTAAGTTCGTTTTTCTTATGCAAGGGCTTGAGTTTGGGATATCACACTGCTGCTTTTTTTCACTTACACAGATGAATATGCAGATGCCTTCCTATTTGCTGCTTCCTTTAGCTCTCACATCACTCTCAGGAAGATACTATCCCCAGTTTACAGAAGGAACTGAGTCTCTGACGTCACATGGCTGGTGAGGGGTTGCACGAATGTTAAAACCTGATCTTCAGACTCTAAATTCAGTGCTCTGCTCAGTACAGCAGCAAGGCTTCCTGAATTTACTTGATCAAGGAAAAATTTACTCTTTTTTTTTTTAATTGCCATGCCACACAGCTTGTGGATCTTAGTTACCTGACCTGGGATTAAGCCCAGGCCACGTCAATGAAAGGAAAGCATGGAGTCCTAACCACTGGACTACCAGGGAATTCGCAAAGAACATTCTTTATAGTACAGTGTAATGATGGAACACCATTAGTAGCTCATCGAGGTTTAAAGGTTTTGTATATTGTAACATTGAATAATACCATAAGTTACTGAAATTTTAGGACAGTGCATAACATGGGTGATGATTATGTAATAAGTAACACTCATGACTGCAATAGTTACCTGAGAGTTAATGCCACCTTGGAAAAGACCCTGACACTGGGAAAAATTGAGGGCAGGAAGAGAAGGGGATGACAGAGGATGAGATGGTTGGATGGCATCATCGACTTGATAGACATGGGTTTGGGTGGACTCCGGGAGTTGGTGATGGACAGGGAGGCCTGGAGTGCTGTGGTTCATGGGGTTGCAAAGAGTCAGACATGAATGAGCAATTGAACTGAAATGCCACCTGACCACCAACGTGGAGAGTGACTTCCTAGAGCTCTCAGAATTAATAACAGATTTGTTTGTTTTTTTTTAGTTTCAACAACATTAGGGTTCCTTGTATTGCAGAGAGCAATAGAAGATCCAAATTACTGACCAATCATCCCTTTTCCTATTGATGTAAAATTAAACACGATTAGTGATTTCTGACATGAAAGATGATCAGAAATCCTCTCAGTTCCCCCATGCCAGTATGTCCATAATGTGTCCAAACCTCATTCTTAAAGGCGAGGTGTAAGATAGTAGTTTTAGAATAAATTATAGGAAAAAAAAACCTGCATAGTATACTGATTAACATCTCATGGAAGAGTGGTAGACCATGGTACAGAGTTTGGGGAATGTGATATTTCTTCCCTACTTTCCCTTTCTTAATAATTCTACACACTCCAATTTGCCTTCTGCTCATCTCATGTCCTCACCTCCACAGGGAAGTGAGAAAACATTGTTTGTATAAGTCCTTTAAGTCCTGTGGTAGAAGCATACTACACAACCCAGAACAACAGCGATAGCAGCATTATTCTTCTAGGCTAAGATATCACATAGGATCCCAAGAAATTTGTGTCAGTCATCAAGTTGATTGAACCAGCAGTTTTCCTGGTGATGTTAAAAGATAAGTTTGTTGATCTTGATTAAGGTAGTAATGAAAGGTAATTTTGTAGAATCATCACCTACAAAGTAAGAGATCTAAGTTAGCCAACTACGATGTGAGCAGAGATGTTCCTCCCTCTGAGGTTGGAAGGGAAGGGGATTAGGTGTAGTTTTGATTTCTTCCATGTCCTTCCATCAAGGAACAGGTTCATGTCAAAATTCCCTGTAGGAATTATCATAGCATCATCTCTCCCTCTGCCAGGGTCTTTTTATCAGGATTTCTCCTAAGAATTCCCTGAACATGTTTTACTGACCCCTGAAGCCCCTTCTGTATTTCAAACTCTAGTAATGACTTTCATCTCATTATTTCCTTGTTACTTTTTTCTTTGTAGACCTGGACAGAGGACCGTGGATGACCTAGAAATCATCTATGAAGAACTCCTTCACATTAAAGCCTTATCCCATCTTTCTACCACAGTAAGTTGTCTCTCAGCTGAGCATGGTTGGGGGCACTTTGAATTAAATGCACTGTTAGGACTGGGGGAGAGGACTATAGTCTGAGGGAGGAAGAGGGATGCCTAAATGCTACCTCATAAATCACCCCTTCTCGCTCTCCTGAGATGCTAAGGAAGTTATACCTACACGCAATCACCAAAGGGTCAAGTAGTATCATGTTTTCAGTAGTTGCCCTAAACATTAGAGCCGCCTGATGAGAGTGGAATTGGAGCATATACTTCAAACTTCCTGAGCCTTGGAACCTGCCATAATTTACCCCAGAGCCAGGCCTTAAGATAGGTTTTCAGTCCCTTCCATGAAATAAAGAGCCATATGGGGCAGCAGCGAGAGAAGTCAAGATGACCTGGCCCGGCCCAGGGGCTAGCTCCACCCAGGTTTGCTGCCCAATTGAGAAAAGAAGCGTAAGGTGCCAAAGAGCATTGGTTCAGGGATTTTAGGGCATAAGAGCAGCACTTGCTGGTGGGAGATGGCCCAATGCCTGTATCTGACTCTGAACGTTTACATGGTTAGGATATTATAGAAAAGCAGTGGACAGAAATGCCTCCTGCCATAGGAGGAACGCAGAGACATGAGTTCCAGGCAACGTAAGTCTCCTATATGCTAATAATTAATAATAATGAGGATGATGATAATAAAAGAAGTTGTTTCAGCGTCTACAGATTACATGCCATGTTCACAAATGGCATGCCAGGCTCCTCAGCAGTGTCTGCCTAGCTCGTTGGTCTTTCATTCCCAGCTCACTGGGTGATACCAAGGTGTCAGTGTCCCACGGCGGCAGCGTCTGCAGGCCCCGCTCCAGGCTGTAAAGCCCAGGGCTCTGCTGAGAGCAGTGCGGCATTCACCACAACCCCAAGTGGAGTGCTGCAGACCTTCCCCCTTTAACCCAGACAGGGCTGCCTTCACCTGCTCCCACTGCCTGCATTCCTCGGGTCGGGAAGCTCGCTCACCTACGTGGAGCATCCAGGGGTCTGGTCCAGCCCACCCTCGCACCCTCCCACCAACCACCCTGTCACCTTCACTGTCTCCATGGTGGGACACATCCAGTGCCCAGGGGCCTCACCCCGGGAGCTCCTGCATCTATGGGGACGCAGCCGAGGCCCCACAAGCTCATGCTGGGGAGGGGAGTGAGGGAAGATCCCTGTGCCCTACCTGCTGTCTGGGTCTCCACCCTGCATGTGTTCTGACTTCCGCAGCCTTGGAAGAATCATGGGTAGTAGAGAGGAAGGGAAGGCTTCTACCTCAAACCCCAGGTCCCTAGGCAATGTGGATGTTCTCAGGTTATTTGGTTCTTAGGGAGACAGAGCCATAATTTGGGACCAGGATTTGGAATTTAAAAAGAAACAGCTATCAAAATCTCTGCACAAGGACTTCCCTCTTGGTCCAGTGTCTAAGACTCCTTGCTCCCAACGCAGAGGGCCTGGATTCGACTCCTGGTCAGGCAACTAAATCTCATGTGCCACAGCTGAAGATGCCATGTGCCACAACTAAGACCCAGCAGAGCCAAATAAATAAATAAATATTTTTTAAAAATCTCCTCCCACATTTAAGCTTAATTATTCAACTTCAAGACACTGAGTTTTCTAACATGTTTGCACTTATGCATGATGTGTGATGCAAGGAAGAACCTCCAGGAGCAAGAGTTATATGATACTGTGGATACTCTCACCCTCTCACCAAGACAAAAGATAGGCAGAGAAGTTGCCTAGCTCATGCACATGCAACCATGTTGTAAACAATCTCTGGGAAGCTGATCTTGTATGAATGAGCATATAAAATAGCTTTTGTAAAAGTTTCAAGAATCTAGTGGCACAGGACATGGAAGCTGCCTAACTGTTCATTGACAAATGTATGACTGAAGAAGATGTGGTATACATATGTGATGGAATACTACTAAGCCATGAAAAAGAACAAAATCTTGCCATTTGCAGCAACGTGGATGAGCCTAGAGATTATCATGCTAAGTGAAGTTAGTCAGACAGAGAAAGACACATGTATCACGTTACTTATATGTGAAACCTAAAAAAAGTGATACAGAGGAACTTATTTATAAAACAGACACACAGATGTAGAAAATAAACTTATGGTTACAAATGGAGAAGGGAGGGAGGGATATATTTGGAATTTGAGATTAACAGATACAACTACTACATATAAAATAGATAAATAACAAGGTCCTACTGTATAGCATGGGGAATCATATTCAATATTTTACAATAAAATAAAATGGAAAATCAGAAAAAGGATATGTGTATTACTGAATCACTTTGGTGAAATATTGTAAATCAACTATACTTGAGTTTTTAAAAAAGTCTAGTGGCACATGTGGTGGAAGTGGTTCTAGGTGGGAGGAGCAGCCAGGCAGAGTGGGAGGCGGCTGTTTGGAAGTTGGCGCTGTTCAGAAAGAGAGCAAGTCCCTTCCCCACACCCCAAAATCTGGTTTTTCCCTGCATTCTTTCTCTTTTTCTTCTAGGTGAAACGGGAGTTAGCAGGTGTGCTCATTTTTGAGTCCCATGCCAAAGGAGGGACTGTGTGTAAGTGAAGGCTGTAACGGTGCATGGTGCCTGGCTTGCCCCCTCCGGAGCATGTGCCACTGGACCCTGACTGTAAACGCTCCCCTTTCTTAGGCCTGGGACAGACCTGCCAGGATGTCACGTGGCACATTTATTTTTCTGGACCCGTGATTATTCCCAGCATGTCTGTGGCTCTGGAGCCTGGTGGGTGTCGGGTACCAGCATGGGAGTGCTTACCAGCCAGCATCTCCACTTGCTGCCTCCCCTGCTGGCTCAAGGTCGTGTTTCAAGAGGGTGGGATGAAGTCACACTGTCTTCAGGGGAGAGTGCAAGCAAAACTTTACACAGTGACCTCACTTCAATTTTGTGGCTTGAGAAGACCTAATCCGTCTCTTGAGAGGCTAGTTAGAAGAGCGTACTATCCTGCTTGCTTCTCACGCTTCCAATATCAGCTGCAAGCCTGAGAGAATTTCTTTGCCCAGATATTTATGCAGTACTAATATGTAGTATCTCTCCAGTAAGTACCTCGTAGTCTAGTTCTATGATCATATTTGGGAGCAAGAAAGTGAAAGTATTAAGTCATTCAGTTGTGTCCGACTCCTTGCGACATGGACTGTAGCCTACCAGGCTCCTCCATCCATGGGATTCTCCAGGCAAGAATACTGGAGTGGGTTGCCATTTCCTTCTCCAGGGGATCTTCCTGACCCAGGGATCGAACCCAGGTCTCCCGCATTGCAGGTGGATTCTTTACTGTGTGAGCCCACTGGGGAAGCCAGAAGGCCTCTTAAGACATTGAAATTTCATATTAATAAATGTGAGCAGAATTATTTCGACTGGCATTTCCCACTCATCCTACAAAACCATTCTTGGAAAACATGGTGAGTGGTGTATTCAGGACACGAACGCCTCCTCTAATCTCTCTTGGAGAATTGTAGGACACGCCAGCATGCTCTGTTCCTCAGGAGTCTACAGTAAGGAAAAATTTCACACCACTTAAACTGATCCTGCCTTAACCTAAGGAAATACAGAAAACATTTTTAATGGACACCTGTTAACTTTTCAGGAGACCTTCTTTGGAAAATCTTGCTCTTTCTTCAGATTGAGCTGTGTTAGTCGAATAAACAGAGACCACGAATTGTAAAAGAAAAAAGAGTTAACATCAGTGTTTCAAATGTCTTACTTTTAGTCCTCAGAAGTGTATATCTAAGATCGATAGTTACTTTAATAAGAATGTTTTTTCTTTACTTTTTAAAGGTTCACATTAACATTTAAAAAATGTTTATGATTACTGGTAACTTACAACTTCTTTTATGCTTTTTCTTCAATCTTACTGACAGTTTTCATTTTATCATGAAATATTTAAGTATTTCAGACAAATCACTAGAGATTGTTACAAACCCCTTTTATTTTTTTTTTTCATTTATTTTTATTAGTTGGAGGCTAATTACTTTACAATATTGTAGTGGTTTTTGCCACACATTGACATGAATCAGCCACGGATTTACATGTGTTCCCCATCCCGATTCCCCCTCCCGCATCCCTCCCCATCCCATCCCTCTGGGTCTTCCCAGTGCACCAGCCCTGAGCACTTGTCTCATGCATCCAACCTGGGCTGGTAATCTGTTTCACCCTTGACAGTATACTTGTTTCAATGCTGTTCTCTCAGAACATCCCACCCTCGCCTTCTCCCACAGAGTCCCAAAGCCTGTTCTGTACATCTGTGTCTCTTTTTCTATTTTGCATATAGGGTTATCATTACCATCTTTTTAATACAAACCCGTTTTAAAAAGCACTTTTATCAAGTACTAACCTGACACTGTGTTTTTTCATATTTTCATTTTTTCTATTTTCTAAAAAATGAAATTCTACATTTGAAGAGTTTGTTTCCTTTTTTATCTCATTCTTCTCTTTTCCTCCCCAAGGTAACTCCTACCCTATATCATATGGTTATCATTCCAACCCATTTTTTAAAAATGTATGTAGATATGTATCCATCAACAATATGTAGTGCTGATTTGCAAGTTTTCAGACTTCACATTGGGCTTCCTGGTGGCTCAGTGATAAAGAATCCACCTGCTGATACAGGAGGTGTGGGTTTGACACCTGGGTCAGAAAGATCCCCTGGAGAAGGGAATGGCAACCCACTCTAGTATTCTTGCCTGGAAAATCCCATGGACAGAGGAGCCTGGCAGACTACAGTTCATGGGGTCAGAAAAGAATCAAACACGACTGAGCAACTAAACAACAACAAACTTCATGTTATTTGTCAGATTACTTATAAAAACTCTGTTCAGTAGCTTAGTAAGTTTTGATGAGTTGTGGGGAGAAGTGTAAGTTTTGATGAGTTGTGGGGAGAAGTGTATTGCTTTAAGGAATGGTTTGATGGAGAATTAATAGTAAATATATATCTGTAGAACACAGCAAGGAGTACAGTGTTTCTGTTTCTTTCATGTTCTAAAGAAAAGGAAGTAATATTCCACCTGAATAAGTTAGTATTTGCTAGTATTTTTTTCCTTCTAGAATTAAATGCATAATTCTGAGGCCTTTAAAATGATGATTTGATAAGCTGTAATTTATATTGATGTGTTTCTATTCTTTCATAAGTCTTTTTTTCTTTTTGTGTCTAGTATTTAACCAAGGGGAAGAAGGCACCTCATGGTACATTATTCTAAAAGGATCAGTGAATGTAGTCATTTATGGCAAGGTATATATATTTTTTCTTTTGAAACTTTATTATGCTGCATTTACTATTGGCTCTAAGTATTAACAATGTAATGCTACAGTTAAACTTGCTACAACATTGTTACTCGATGTAGAAAAGACATTATAGCCTCTCTAGTCATATATTATCTAAATTTTTATACTCAGAGTAGCACTGAACTTTATAGGACTCATGGATTACAATGTATATATGTAAGTCAGGTCCTAGCACATATTACTCAATGAAAGAAAAATGAGACATTATAATTATGTGATCCTTTCCCCTGTGACATCTCTGGGTACAACCTGTTGATATATATTCAGTGTTTTCGAGGCAGGGGGGCTTGTGGTGTGAGGCGGGTGGGTATGTGCCCTGTTCCAGGGATCACCTTCATCTGCATGATTTGTTCTCTCCAGGGGGTGGTCTGTACCCTGCATGAGGGCGATGACTTTGGTAAGTTAGCCCTAGTGAATGATGCCCCGAGAGCTGCCTCCATCGTCTTGAGAGAAGATAACTGCCATTTCTTAAGAGTGGACAAGGAGGATTTCAACCGGATCCTGAGGGTGAGTCTGAGGTGCAGGGTGGCCGAGGGGCTCCCTGTTGCCACTTTTGCCTGATGAGTGAAGGACTCGAGCAGCACAGTGACTAATGAATGCTCTAGGGCCAAAGAGCCTTGTTTACAGACCTGCTATGTTCAGTGTGATGGTGTGGATTCTGGGGTCCAGAGGTGATATTCTAGTAAAGCTGTAAATATGTCACACTGTTCCAGGCCAAATAACCCTGCACACACCTGAACCAGCTCATGAGCATTAAAACACAGAGATGCCTTGGCAAAATACCACAGTCTGAGACATTTCTCTTTGCTCTCCTAGGCTTCCCCTTTTGTGTCTGTCCTCACCTCCTTCTCCATATGTGTCTCTATCCTAAACCTCCTATCTCTTCCCAGATCTGAACCTTATATCCTCTCCCACCCTCCGAATTTATTTAGTGACTACATTTTAGCGGCAGTTAATGTCCACCATGATTATTCCACCAAGCGTTTTCATTTCAAGTACTTTACATCAAATTGATTCACCCTCAAGGAATTTCAGACTTTGACAAGTAGGTGAAGAATAGTTGGAGTGGTAGTATTGTGACAGTATTAGTGAGAGTGGGTGACATTTAGAATAGGTGGTCCCTGGGTTCTTTCTATCATCCAGCTCCTGGTCCCTTGAGAGGGCCAGTCCAACTTAAATGGTGGAGGCCTGTCTGTGGATTGCTGGGCATTTGACAGCGTGCCAGCGGTCCTGGCCTTTCAGGTGTCCTGTGGTCTCTCCCCCTCACCCAGACTGTTCCCTCCAGGATCACTTTGCTCTTATCCCATCCCTGCCAGCTCACAGAGCGGACTTCCTCCTCTGCCCCTCCCAGCCTGAGCATCCTTCTGTATCCTGTGCTAAAATCCTAAATGCACCTTCTATGCTTTCTGGTACCTTTGGTGTTACTTAATAATGATTTACAATCTCATTCCCATTCCTTATGTCTGGACACCTATCCGTACCCTTTCTTGGCAAGATTCCTGACAACAAAATTTGTGTTAGGAATATATTCTCTTAATGCAAACGAAATTAAGTTAAAAATTAAATAATGTAGGGGAAAAAAACCCACCATATGGAATTTGACTTGGTTGTTATCCTGGCTCTTCAAATAGGAGCCAAAGGGTGAGAAAAAGCACACTAAATTTTTTTAATAAATTATTTTAAATGACTTTGAAATTTGAACTTTACACTTTGAAAGTTTACACACATGGATTTTACACTCAGCCACAAAATTCTTTGAAAGAATCAGATTATGACCATTATCATGGATGTACTTTATAAAATTATTCCAAGTACCTGAAAAATATTTTTAACAAGCTTTAAACTGATATTTTTTAAAGTTTTTTGATTAGAGGGAAAACATGCCACTCCTAAGAAAACTATATGCCCTCAGAAGATAATCAGAATGAAAGAACTCTGTGGAAGTGGAGTGCTATTTGCCACATAGCTTTCTAGAGACTAAGTGGCTTGGCTCCTCTCTCTTCACTGTACCGCCCTCTCCCAGAGGTTCCTCTGAGCACCACCACTCCTCTCTCCTCAGCTGATTTTCTGAATCGTGGGTAAAAGTAGTGTTTTAAATGCACGTGCCTCCAACCTCATCTGGTCCTCTCTGACCGTTCCAGCCCCTGACTTTGAAAATGACTTAATTTGTAGACGCAACAATTAGCATCACAAGCAGAAAATGAGTTTCTGAAGCATTTGAAATTTTTGTCATTGTCTGAGAAAACGGCAGCATCTGTATGTGGTGTAATTTGTATTTGCAGGACGTTGAGGCGAACACAGTCAGACTTAAAGAACATGACCAAGATGTCTTGGTGCTGGAGAAGGTCCCAGCAGGGAACAGGGCTTCTAATCAAGGAAACTCACAGCCTCAGCAAAAGTAGGTTTGCCTCCAACACTGCAATTGCCAGACTATGATTAACCTTTTCACATGGTATCATCATCTCTACAATAGCACGTTCTCCTTTTTTTGTGCAAGACGGCAGCCTGTGTGACTTTTTTTTCTCTCTATTGACTAATCACACATCTTGTGGAGGATAATGTATCCGTTTCTGGCACTGCATCCAGCTTGGTGCTGCCTGGAGTAATTCCGGAGAGAATACTTCCCTACTCTAAGAATGCTTCCTCTATACTATGTTCAACTGTGATAGCTTTGGAGCAGAAGGCATCAGTGAGAACAATAGGAACAGGAATGCCAGGCAGCTTGAGGGATACACAGGCCCCTGGGTGTGGAGAACCTTTGGCATTTGAATTTCATATGTAGGATTTCTCAAGAAATGTTTTCATCTTGTTATCTGCATAAGCATCTTTGATGGAAACCCAGACTTCAGATATAAAACGGTCTATTGACTGTGGCCTGGAACCATCCATAAGACCTCATCCTTAGTTATTCCTGCAAATTTCAGAAGGGTATTTGCTTCCCATTTAACATCAGGACACTCATTTAACTGATTTTTTTTTTTTTAATTGTAGTGGTTTTTGTCATACATTGACATGAATCAGCCATGGATTAACTGATTCTTTTTCAGCATATGTGTCTTCAGTTCCATCTTTTGCTGCAGCTTTTTTTTTGCTAGAGCTTCTTATGTGAGATTCAATCAAATGTATCAACATTTGAATAGTAAGACAGAGGAATTAGGAAATGTGGCTCTAAGAAATGGAAGAAAATTACAGAATCTCATTTTAAAAATAAAGATTAATTTTTAATCTTAGAGTAATAAAGACACCAATTCTGTAGCTAAAGACATGTGGCCAAAGACTGTGTTGGAAAAGAATGCATCCCAAGTATTCTTCTTTGCCAAGTAAATGGGCTGTTCCCATTAATCAGCCCACTCACCATAAATAATGAAATTTTTTTGTTTAGACTGAAAGCCTAAGGCTCAGACATTTCATCTGGATGAGTCAACATATCTGCAAAGAAGAGAAGAAGAAACAGAATGTTATTGAAGAGCCATAGTGTCTCTTGCATATTTTATCTAATCCTTATTACAACCCCTTTTAATGAATGGTGGAAAATTTTAGGCTCAGAGAAGGAAGTTACTTGCCCAGGATTACAACACTGGTAATGGTAGAGCTTGCATTCAAGTCCAGCTTGACCAACTTCTCAGTCTGTGTTCCTTTAGCCTCACAAATTACTCTAACAAAATATACTATTAATATATAAATATATCTTCAACACTATCTAGTAAATGTTGCAAAGCAGTATATTTCAAAAGGGCTGACATAAGATAGACTGTATTACAAACTTTTCACTTACAAACCTATAAAATTACCGTCCAGAATTCTTTATTTTTCTACTTTTCACTAACTATGCATTCTTGAAAAATGTTCTTGCACAACTGTTTTTCAAGAGTTGTCCTTCCAGCTGACAAAGGAGGATAAGAATGAAAACATTTTTTTTTTTTTAATGTGAAGACTGGGACTACCCCCAGTGATTTTCTTTGTTGCCCTTAAGTATAACTAGACCGTTTTATGTGATCATCTACATTCTTTGCTAATGTCTCAGATGCCTCAGGAAAATTTTGTTACCTGAAAAAGCAAGCCTTGAAAAGTCCCTGTAACCTCAAAGATGTCCTCGGAAGGTCCCCTTCCCTCACCTCTTCATGGTGTGGTGGGGGCAGTGATCAAAAGGTTTTGCAGGTTACAGCAGCACTGTATTCAGAGTGCTCTCCAAATATAGATTTTTTTATTAACTCAAACTAAAAGGAAAAAGAGAGCCCACATGTATTAAATTTATTTTAGGCCTGGATTTGATTTCTATTATAACTGGATTGGCCCAAAATTTCATTCAGATTTTAAACCCAAATGAACTTTTTGGTCAATCGAATACCTCCTTATTTGTTTCCAGTAGACCAATTTGTATACATTTCTTATATAATTCAAAGACATGTGCATATTCACAGTACACCGTTTTGGAAATATCAGGCATACAAAACAGTGCACCATGCCAAATCCAGAAGAGTAAAAAGCCTCTCTTTCAAGGGGTCATTTTCCAGGTTGAATTTTCCCAAGCCAAACCAGAGTTGAAAAGTGGGGGCCATGTAAGTGAATTTTGACTGATGTTCTGGACAACTTGGAAAACATGGGAGCAACCATGTCTATGGGTGGACTTAAAATTTAGGATCCGTTAGGACCTCTGTATCCTCAGAAATCAACCTTTTTCAGCTCAAAGAGGGTCACCATATTGGTGCTGATAACATTATTTTTCTGATTCACTTTTACCCTGAGAAATCCAGAGCAGTTTATGCATACAGTTGGCCCTCTGTATCTTTGGTTTCCACATCCACAGATTCAGCCAACCACAGATGGAAAATATCAGGGGAAAAAATTTCCTAAAAGTTCCCAAAAGCAAGACTTGAATTTGTCATATGCTGGCAACTGTTTAAATAGCACTTATATTGTATCTACTACTATTTACATAGCATTTACATTGTATTAGGTCTAAAAGCAATATAGAGATGATTTAAAGTATACGAGAATATGTATAGATTATATGCAAATACTATACCATTTTATATAGGGAACTTGAGCATCCATGGATTTTGGTATCTGTGGAGGTCCTGGAACCCACTCCCTGCATTTTAAACTTTGAAAGCCACCTGACTCCCCTCAAACCACTCAACTCTGAATGTGATATTAGAATGTCAATAGTGAGACAGTACTTTTCATGATGGATAAACTATATGAAGCCCTCAAACATTACCATTTAGGATACCTTCCACTCTGGTTATGTGGTTGTAATAAGAGGGAATTTGAAATGACTACTCCTGTTTCAGTTAATGGGTTACATTTTCCTTAGACTATCAACCACCCAGTCATTCAGCTCCATCCTGTTTGCAGAAAGATGGTCTCTTTCAGGCACCCTCCTCCACCTCTTTTTTTTGTTTTAGGTGCAGGTAGAAGTGTCCTCGTTTCTAGACTTGGTGTCAGAGGATTTTCTGTCACAGGTTTAAAACCTCACAGCCTGGATAGCCTCACCAGTCAGGGTTCTCTTTAACTTGTACTAGGGTACCTTCTTCATGCAGTAAGCTGGGAAGAGCTGTACCATCTGGTCTTCAAGTCCCCCATTTAAACAAAGGTCAAGCAATAGGCACCTGGCAGCATCCATCCTGAAACAAAGCAGTAACGTGTTTCAGCCAAGCCCGGACCTGCAAGATCACAAGCCAGAGGCTCTCTGCCCCCTTCCCAACTTCAGAGTCCCCTGCCCTGAGAGAATGTCAGCCCCTTCTGTGGAGCTGCGAAGAGGGAAAGGATAAGGTCAGGCAGCTGTGCCACTGGAGAGAGCCTCTGGCAGAAACAGATGGATGCCCTAATGTCTCTGATTAGAGAGACCATTTTCTCTCACTAGTGGGATGATAGCATAAAGGACTGCCACCCAGGTAAACTTTTATTCTTTTTGACCAGACAACATACCCTAGCTAAGGGAAGTCCTAACCAAGAATACCAGGATGGGAAGCCAACATTCTATCAGAGTTAAACTTTTGACAAGGGAGCCAATTTCACACTGATCTGTGAGTCACATGGCCAGCTAGAGCTGGAAGCTTAGTAGCAACAGCTGCCCAAGCCATGTGGAATAGAAAGTAACTGGTTTATGTAATGTATCTCTTGAAGTATTGAAAGTCATTTATAGATATGCCCTCTCCTTCCCTCAAATGAAAGTGAAGGTGTTAGTTGCTTAGTCATGTCCCACTCTTTGCAACCCCATGGACTACAGCCCACCAGGCTCCTCTGTCCATGGATTTCTCTAGGCAAGAATACTGGAGTGGATAGCCATTCTCTTCTCCAGGGGATCTCCCTGACCCAGGGGTTGAATCCGGGTCTCCTGCATTGCAGGCAGATTCTTTCCAGTCTGAGCCACCAGGGGAGCCCTCAAATAGTCATTGCCTATAAGAGGAAAACACCTTTGTCTTCTGCCCTCTTTACTTTGAGAAACGGGTCCACCATTCGAGATGGAAGCAGACTTTTTTATTCCCGGCTCCTCCCGTAGGCTGCAAAGCCAGATTCTTTTCAAAGATTGAACTCTTGAGCTTTCTTTTGGTCCTGAGGGCAGGCACACATACATGTGGGCACACACAACACACGTTCATGCACATACTCAATTAGTGACAGTTACCTCCCAGATAGACTGAGTTTGCTACCTCATTCAAAACCAGGGTGGTTTCACTCACTGCATGCTCATATGCACAGGGTCATATGTTGGATTGCCTCTTCTTCCCTTCCTCAGGCAAGCGGTTAAGACCCTGAGATTTCATACATTAGAGGTATTCTTGGGATCTCAACACCCTTCCTCCAGGGTCTCAAACAGGCAGGGAAGGGATATTGGTGAGGAGAAGAAACTGGAGTTCCCCTGGAACTGAATCCTACCACTGCTTTCTAAACACAAGAGAATTTTATTTTCATTGTCGTCCTTTCTTGTCATTTTGCTGTTAAGTGTAAATGCCGAGCAGAGAAGCAAAATCTGAACTTTGGAACAGGACCACCCAGATCTCCTCAAAGTATTTTGCCTAGAGTTTTCCCTCTGTTTTCTACCATCTTGAATATTACTTTGAAATAACCCACACTCAGTTTAGAAAAATACATCCTCCCTTGTTGATTAAAGGGCTTCATGGCTGGATCTCCTGATATAATGCCTAATACCCCCCACCCTGCCAAATAATTTATCCTTGACATGGAAATTATATGGATATTCTACTGCTGATTTATTTCCTCTTCAGATGTTATGGGAGGTTGTTTGCTTGTCGGTATTTTAGGGGTTTGTTTTCTCTTATTTTTAGCTGCATTTCCAAAGTACATTCCAGTGTACAGTTGGGAGATATGCCGCATTCCAGAAATAGGCAGGGGAATCCAGTACCGGCCTGAAATTGTGCAACGAGTAACCCATATATGGATAACCTAGTTTATTGTCACTTCCCCTTGCCCTGAGCTGCCCTGGGATTTACATGTTCCCTTTCATTCCCCGTGGAGCAAGGCTGAAGTTCCCAGCCTGCCGGAGCCACTCTCCAAGAAGTTTAGTCTCATGTATGGAAAAAAGAAGAATGTTTTAGTAACTACTTTCAATTTGTGATTTTTCTGTTGCCTTCCTCTGTGATTTTGATGAGGTACATGATCTTTTTTTTTTTACCATATGGGTCATGAGTTGAGTCAGTATGGTTCTCTGGGATCTCAAAAAATCTTTAGATATGTAAAAAATTATATATCAATGATTTGCCCACTCTTGAAAAATTAATGATGGTTTTATTTCTCATCCAGGTATACTGTGATGTCAGGAACACCTGAAAAAATTTTAGAGCATTTTCTAGAAACGATACGCCTTGAGCCAGCTTTAAATGAAGCAACAGGTAAACACCTAGAAGAGCTACATCCATTAAATCTGGGCAGAGCACCATAAAAAAAACAAAAACAACTTCTGAATTCATTCTCAGTATGTGTATCAACAGCAGTTTTAGAAATGGGTCATGTGTGAGATCTTTAGAAGAGCATCCTGCAAACCCTACTTTGCCTGCTTATCCTGGCTGTGCTTTATAGATGTCCCAGTCTCATTCATACATGTTAGGAGTAGCCTTCCAAAGGCATTTCTTAAGTTATCATTTAAATCCCATCTTCCAAAGGTAACTATTTGGTTATAATTTAAATTCTGTCTATTCCCGTAAGGGATTAGAAGCTGCCTCCATAAAAGACACAACCTTGCTCCAACTGGGAGTAAAGTGGTTTTTTCTGAGATTCTTGGACTGCTACAGAGTGGAACTGTACACACATTAGTTTCCTAGGACCGCCATGACAAAGTGACACTATCTGGGGTCCCTTGAATGCCTCGCAGTCCAAGAGGCTAGAAGTCTAAGATGCAGGTACCGGCAGGATTGGCTCCTTCCAAGGGCTGTGGGGAAGAGTCTGAGATCTCTCGCCTGACTTCTGGCTGAGGGGTGGGTTGATGGCATTCTTTGGCATCCCTGGGCTTATAGAGGCATCACTCATCTTCATCTTCACATGGTATTTTCCCTGTGTCACTTCACATCATCTTCTCTCCATGCATTTGTCTCTCTGTCCAAAATTCTCTCTTTTGTCTTTTTATAAGGACACCAATCATATTTGATTAGGTTCCATATTCATTATCTTAACCAATTACAAATAAGGTCACATTCTGAGGTCCTGGGGATTTGGACTTCATCATATCTTATGGGGAGGAAAAAAATCAACTAATAATACCACTGTTCAATGAACTAGCCATGTTATCTATTACACAGAGATTTGATGGTGAATGAGATGAATCTCACCAGTGAACTGTTACTATTAGAGCTTGATATCCTTCTCTACTTTGGTTACCATCTTATGTATGACTTTGGAACAGCCCACATTCAGCTCTTTTAAAAAAAAAATAATTTGCTACTGTCCTGTCTCTCAGAATAATAGGCTAATATTTTAAGTGCATTGAGCTCCATAGAAGATTTCTTACTAAAAGAAGTTCAAATATTTGTCCAAAAATCTTGGTGGTGGTTCAAAATCTGTTTCTGTCATCTTTGCACTATATTCAAGGTAAAGTTAGCATTATTGTTGTTGTTATTATTATTATTCCTTCTAAAAGTATTTTACTGTACTAACTTCTTATTTTATCTTCTCATTCTAGTTTCTTATTTTGTGTAAATAGACTATCTGATTAAAAAAAAAAGAATACTACTGCTTTCAATGTTTGACAAAAACCACTATAATATTGTAAAGTAATTAGCCTCCAACTAATAAAAGCAAATGAAAAATTAAAAAAAATAATAAATAAATAAATAAATAGACTATCTGAGGTTTTTAATGTAGTGAATTAATTGGGGAGTAGTAGATAGAAAAGCCAGGATCTCTGTTTTCAGAGCACTTATTTTCAGTATTTGTTGAGGAACTTCTTGGACTGGCGCTAAGCTGGATGCTATGGACAAAGCAGTGTGAATAAGAAACCATCCTCCTGTCCTCAGAAAGCTTATAACCTCCTGGAGGACAAAAAGGAATATGCAAACAGCTTGATCAAAAGTCTGAGAGGACCAGGCAGAGTGTCACAGAGGAAATAGCTTTGAAATGTCCCTGAAGGAAGGCTCGTAATCAGTGACTACAGACTGGAGATGGAAGCCTTCCATTCTGAAGGGCAACATGAGTGCTGACCCAGAAAGAGACGAGAAGGACCAGATGATCTGGCTTTGCTAGACTATCATATACACCAAACTGTCAGAAAGAAGATAGGGTCTAGGAATTAGGGTCCAGATCTTCAAGTATGTTAGATGTGAAGCTAAGCATGAGGAAGTAGTTGAAGATGTCTGAGCAAGGAGAATGTGGTAAGATCTTTTCTTGAAAAAGGAAATCCTTGCAGGATCAGTTACAAGGGGATAACTTGCTTCCAAGAAGCAAACATAACCTCAAATAAATCATATTTCTAGGACCCGAGGTCAGGAAAAATACAGCAGATTTTTCCCCTCTGATTAACTGTTGCCCAGAATGTGTGATTGCATAATAGAAAAAAACCAGCATCTTCTCTAAAGTGATTTTGACCAAAAAGGAACATTCTAGTGCATTAGAGATGATGGTATCTAAGAAAAGATCTGTAAGACTTTTACTACCCGTGAGGAACAAACATACTCTTCCTTTTAAAGTCACTTCTGAAAGAGGAGGGGACTAGATGATTGCTTGTTAAGAACCGGAAGCCCAGAGATCAGTGCACGGCATGGCTGTCGCATATGCTGTGACTCCTGACAGTTCTTTTTGATATTAGAACTAAGTTCTCATTATATTTTAATACCAAACTTTATTTCCTGTAGTTTTATTTCCTGTAGTTTTTCCTATTGTTATTTTTGCAAGTAATGCTCGTGGATTAGATGGAAGGAATAAATCAGTATCTTCCTCATAATCAAAATATGAATTGTTACATGGTCATTCTGGACACTAAAAATTATCTTAGTACAGACCCATGAAACTCATGGATGCAGTGGGATGGGAGACCCTTGGCATTTATAGATTTCCAATACAGTGAGAGATGTCAGAGTTGATAGTATAACTAGTTTACATCGTAAAAATAACATTGTTGGGTTTGATAGGACATTCTCTTAATATACCCCAAAACATGTATTTTCTGCCTAAGGATTATTGGTTTCCTAGACTTACACTTCTATGACCAGCATTAGTCCTTAAGTGACTTGGGAAGTCGTTTTCTGGTATGAAAGGATCCTTTGAATCAGCTCTCAAGTGTGAGAAAGAATAAGTAGAGAACAAAGTCACACTGAGATGTGGAGGCTGGGTGATTACCACGCTGACTGACCGGCTCTCCAGCCTTGAAGCACCCTACTCAAATTTCAGCTTTAACAGCATTTAAATTACTTTCTAGCACAGGCCTCTGGGAACCTTATAAGCAAACATTTTCTCTTCTCAGAGAAATCCTTTATATCTAAAACATATTTGGTGACCCTAGATGTTAAACTCAGACATGCCAGTGAACATCCTTTCATACTTAAAAAAAAAGTTCCATACAGCTTCTATCTGACACCTTAGCAGGTTCTCTGGCTCAGTATAATGAGACTGAAATGACTCATAACACCTAGTAATGACAACTTTGGGTTTACACTCATCACCTATATTTAAATAAGTATAATGGTATTGTGTGGCATGACAGAGATATTAACTAAAGCTAAGGTGGTAATCAGATTGCAATATATACATGTATCAAATCAATACATTGTGTTCTTTAAACTTACATAATGTTGTATGACAATTATCAGTTTTTTTAGTGAGTGTAATGATTAAACCTTTAGTCACTGATTCCAACTTTGATAATATTTGTTAATTTAAAACACAGACATTGGAAACTCAGTATATATAGTTAAAAATTTTGCATTTCTCACCATTTTCTATTTGAAAAATTATGTGAGTTTCACAGATCTCAGCCATGGTGGTTCATTTTCTAATTGAAAACCCCCATAGCATCTTGGATCCCAAAGCTTTAACAAGTATGTTCTTAAGGCTTTTAGATCTGTCTTTATGTGCTTTCCACTTAAGGTGGTTTGGATAATATTGTCTTCGCAATGAAGAACCAGCATCAGATTCAAAATGAAGCATACGTGGGGGGACTTCCCTTATTTCTTTTGCCATCTCCCTGCTTACCTATCTACAAAACAGCTTCAAATATAAGACATATACCACTTTAATCTACCAGAGAGCTTTTGTTTTGCTTCAGTTATTGCTCACAGTTTTTCTTTTCTTTTCTTTTTCTTCTTGGCTGCTTTTGTTTCCCTCACCAGTTCTCTGCTCTTACCATGTCCTTTTTCCATAATTCTATCACCCTTTCATCTTTTATTGCTCCCTCTAGAAATTGAAAGTAGAAAATAAATAAGGAAAGTAGACATTGACAAAAGACAGATGGTGTAAAATAGACAAAGAAATGGCCATATCTTAATTCTGCATACATGGTACTGCCCATGTGTGGTTTTTTAATTATATATATATATATATATATATATATATATATATTTTCATTTATTGTAGCTAAGGTGACCAGCGCCATTATTACAAGTCTGTCTCTTTTTAAACTTACTGTACTTTTTGTCCACTGTCCTAAGGAAATTGAGTTTTGATCTCAAGCTCTGTTAATCTTTTTATTTTCATATGCCATGCTTCTTTATATAGTAAAACCACAATACCCCAAGCCAACATATAAGAACCATTGGCCAAGAACAAATGAATAGATACTCTTGCTTTCCTCAACATTTCTACAAGAATGTAAGTTCTTTTTCTGCTTTGTTTTTCTCCCCTGCAGATTCTGTATTAAATGACTTTGTTATGATGCACTGTGTTTTTATGCCAAATACCCAGCTTTGCCCAGCTCTGGTGGCCCAATATCCTTTTGTTGTGAAAAGTCTGTTCCCTTGATGACACCTCCCATGTATATAAGGCCACTATCTCATCTCATGCTCTCAAGGTAAGTCATGACCGAGGTAGAATTAGGCTTTCTGCCCTTGTCAAACTCTGAAACATCAGCAGTTTCCCTGCCTACCCCCCACCCACAGATTTCTGATCTCTCCTTGGCATGTGCCATGTTTAAGGATTTTCTCCTTATTACCTGTGTAGAGAAACATGAGCCAATTTATCTAAGGAAGGTGACGCTGATGAGAAATATACATCTCCGGGAGGTAGACTAGAGAATGTGATGGCGAAGAATATTATTAGGGAGTATTATTAGGGATCACTTCCTAAGCTTGGAGACTTTGTACCTCTGTCAGGACGCCTGGCAGGATGGACCATGATCTGTTCATGTCCCTCTAAGCTGTAGTATTAATCAGACCACTAACCTGCTGAGATATATACAAGTTGTCATTGTGGGGCCACTTTTCTTTCACATTCATCCTGGTCAACCCTATCCTCTAGACATTGATATTTATCCCTTTGTGGCTGTTTTTATTATTATCCCATTGACTTTTGTCAGGGATACAAAACTTGAAATTCTAATGGCGGTTCCTCTAGGTAACTTGATCCTGAGCTTATGTGGGGGGCAGCGTTTCAGTGGTCTCTTGAGTTAACCAGTTGGTGCACAGTGTCTGGCAGAGGGGACATTCAGAAGACAGAAGTTGAATAAAAGAAGTGAATATCATTAATGAGTGGAACCCTCAACTTTGGGGGAATGTGAAAGTATATTTTCCAATTCTGCTTTATTTTTAAAGCAGCAAAAATGTAGGCCCCCAAACACTTTGGCCTTTTTGAGCAGCTAAATATATGGAAGGAGAATAACTTTCTTTTTTTCTAAGCAATCCAATCAATGTTGGCATGTTTTCCTTTTTCAGAATTATAATTTCCCTACCTGATTCTCATTTCCTTGTTCATAATTCTCTTTGAAGTCAACAGAACGTGTGAGAATAAGAGATTGGAGTTGAATATGCTATTCAGAGGATGCTGCAAGAATGAGATTTGGGTGTTTATTTGCCTGGAAACTATCTTTCCAAGTAATGACAGTTTAATGAGACTTAAATATATTATATATTCTTTCTGGCTCATATTCAGTTTTTCTCAAGTAAAATTAACACATTCAGAGTCTCTCTGTGCTCTTTTAGCTCCATACATGGTAATCATTATTAGACCTTTGAGATTTTTGGAAGGAAAAATGAAAACCACCATTGAGTGTAGACTTTTTTTTCCCCAATAGTTAGCATGTTGATAAGCTTAAGGCAAACAAAACCAAAAGAAGGATGAGAGCAAGTAATGGACCAAGTTATATCATCTTGACAGCTCAGAGCCCCAAACACTGAGCTTATAGTCTTTTTGCAGATTTGTATTTCTTCACTTGCTAGTTCGTTCTCCTTCAGAATTGATTGAGAACATTCACAGCATTGACCTCTGTGTTAAAGTAGAAGATCCTAGAAGGAAAGTCTGCCCCATGCCTAGGTGTGGAGGTGGAGGGTAATGATGTTTTGGGAAGGTGAAGGCAGGAAAAGTGGACAGTAGAGTCAAGGGATGCCTGTGATATCCAATCCTAACTTTTCTCAGAGATTGAGGGAGTCAGGATGGTTGGGTACCATCCATACTACCTAGTGTCCTCAGACCACCTCCTTCACACCCTGCCCTGTGAGAACTTAGATTCTCTTAACTGTCCTATTTTGAAACAACTCTTTATGTGCCAGGCACCATTGACCCATATTATACCTCTTTATCCTTATAGGAGTTTATTGGGTTAGTGTCAATTTTATTTAAAAGTGAGAATTCTGAGCCTCAAAAACAAACATGTCCAAGGCAAGTGGCAGAACTAGGATTTATCCAGGTGTTAGGATTCCAAGCCTGGGGTGTGGCATTTTTTTCCTTCACAACTTACGCTTTTAAAAGCTTATCCTTTAAAGTTTAAAAACAACATTTCTTGGAAATTTATTGCATGATACATGTTTATTTGTACTTCAGTTGGCTAAAATCAAAGTGGACCTAATTTGTTGAAACCAAATAAAGTATCTGATAGAACTTTTTCTTTTTATAGTGATGGATATGTTCTGTATCTGTGCAGCCCAGTAGCCACTAGCCTTGAAATTGGGTTCTATGACTGAAGAACTGAATTGTTAATTTTATTTAATTTTTATTAAGTTAAATGTAAATGGCCACATGTAACTCAGTTCAGTACAGTCGCTCAGTCGTGTCTGACTCTTTGTGACCCCATGAATCGCAGCACACCAGGCCTCCCTGTCCATCACCAACTCCCAGAGCTTACTCAAACTCATGTCCATCGAGTTGGTGATGCCATCCAGCCATCTCATCCTCTGTCGTCCCCTTCTCCTCCTGCCCCCAATCCCTCCCAGCATCAGGGTCTTTTCCAATGAGTCAACTCTTCACATGAGGTGGCCAAAGTACTGGAGTTTCAGCTTCAGCATCAGTCCTTCCAATGAACACCCAGGACTGATCTCCTTTAGGATGGACTGGTTGGATCTCCTTGCAGTCCAAGGGACTCTCAAGAGTCTTCTCCAACACCACAGTTCAAAAGAATCAATTTTTCAGTGCTCAACTTTCTTCACAGTCCAACTCTCACATCCACACATGATCACTGGAAGAACCATAGCCTTGACTAGACGGACCTTTGTTGGCAAAGTAATGTCTCTGCTTTTTAATATGCTTTCTAGGTTGGTCATAACTTTCCTTCCAAGGAGTAAGCATCTTTTAATTTCATGGCTGCAATGATTTTGGAGCCCAAAAAATAAAGTCTGACACTGCTTCCACTGTTTCCCCATCTATTTCCCATGAAGTGATGGGACCAGATGCCATGATTTTAGTTTTCTAAATGTTGAGCTTTAAGCCAACTTTTTCACTCTCCTCTTTCACTTTCATCAAGAGGCTTTTTAGTTCCTCTTCACTTTCTGCCATACGGGTGGTGTCATCTGCATATCTGAGGTTATTGATATTTCTCCCAGCAATCTTGATTCCAGCTTGTGCTTCTTCCAGCCCAGTGTTTCTCATGATGTACTCTGCATATAAGTTAAATAAGCAGGGTGACAATATACAGCCTTGACATACTCCTTTCCCTATTTGGAACCAGTCTGTTGGTCCACGTCCAGTTCTAACTGTTGCTTCCCAACCTGCATATAGGTTTCTCAAGAGGTGGGACAGGTGGTCTGGTATTCCCATCTCTTGAAGAATTTTCCACAGTTTATTGTGATCCACACAGTCAAAGGCTTTGGCATAGTCAATAAGGCAGAAATAGGTGTTTTTCTGGAACTCTCTTGCTTTTTCGATGATCCAATGGATGTTGGCGATTTGATCTCTGGTTCCTCTGCCTTTTCTAAAACCAGCTTGAACATCTGGAAGTTCTTGGTTCAGGTATTGCTGAAGCCTGGCTTGGAGAATTTTGAGCATTACTTTACTAGCATGTGAGATGAATACAATTGTGCAGTAGTTTGAGCATTCTTTGGGATTGCCTTCTTTGGGATTGGAATGAAAACTGACCTTTTCCAGTCCTGTGGCCACTGCTGAGTTTTCCAAATTTGCTGGCATATTGAGTGCAGCATTTGCACAGCATCATCTTTTAGGATTTGAAATAGCTCAACTGGAATTCCATCACCTCCACTAGCTTTGTTCATAGTGATGCTTTCTAAGGCCCACCTGACTTCACATTCCAGGATGTCTGGCTCTAGGTAAGTGATCACACCATCATGATTATCTGGGTCATGAAGATCTTTTTTGTACAGTTCTTCTTTGTATTCTTACCACCTCTTCTTAATATCTTCTGCTTCTGTTAGGTCCATACCATTTCTAGTGGCTGCCATATAGGACAGCTTAAGTCCCATCCTTAGATACTGGGAATAAAACAAGAATTACTGTCCTGTAATGCCTGGGAGGCCAGGAAGGCATCCTCCTGCTGGCAGGCAAATGGAAAGGGCTGTATCCTTGAAGGTCATGTGTGTGTAAGTGTGTTTATACCAAGCTAAGGACTTAAATTTCTAGTCCGTTTGGCTCCAGAGAGATGTTCTATAGCTTCCTTACATAAGCTTCTTTTTCAATCATAAGTAACATAAACAAACTGTAACTGACTTAAGCAATAAGGGAATTAAGCAAAAGGATGGGGTAACTCAGAGAATGGAAGGAATCCTTAGAGCCCAGGCCTTAGAAAGGAACCTTGCGGGCAGTGACGAAGGAACAGCTGCTAGAGTAAAGTGGAAGTGAAGGTTGCTCAGTCATGTCCGACTCTTTGCGACCCCATGGACAGAGGAATCTGGTGGGCTAAAGTCCGTGGAATTCTCCAGGCAAGAATATTGAAGTGGGTAGCTGTTCTCTCCTCTGGGGGATCTTCCCGACCCAGGAATCAAACGGGGGTCTCCTGCACCGCAGGTGGATTCTTTACCAGCTGAGCTTCCTGGGCCCTTGCCTCATTCCCACATCCCTGGGAGTAGCTTGGGTGATTGGTGATGTCTTGGTCAAAGGAAAGCAAAGCACTTCACTGAATAGTTTTTCAGAGACTGCCTATAAAGAAAAATAGAGAAAGTGGAGAAATAGAAGATGAAGGGTCAGGAAAAAAAAAAACAACAACACTTATAAACTATTAAGCACCATGTCCTCATGTGACAGGGAGCTACAATGTAAAACTGAACAAGTGGGCTAATACCCATGTTGTTATGGGATTTAGGGATAGTAAAATACTTAACTGCGTTCCATTAAAGCACTTAAATTAAGTGCGTTGATTTGGCTGTGTGTTTTTAAAGTACTTATTAATATGTGTGACTTTTCATAGCAGCCCTGTGAAGAAGTCAGTATTTTCACTGCTCTTTTTCCAAATCAATAAACTAGGATAATGAAAAATTATGATTTGCTCAGAGAAAGGTAATTACTAGTACAGAAAAGACTTGAGCCCTGAGCCACTGGCGTCTGTTTCTGTCCTTAATCCACAT